TGTCTCGGAAACCGTAAAAGCCAAAAAGCTTCAGTTTTGCGGTAGTGTACCCTGCCAACATACAACTGCGAAAATTTAAATTCAGCTTTCCTGTGCTTCCAGGCATCACTTGCGGCCCCGTAAAAGTTTCGGCGAGGAAAATTGTTGTCTCGGGAACCATGAAAGTTAGGAATCTGAAATTTTAAGGCGTTGTGCCCTGTCAGCGTACGACCCCGCAATTTTGGATTCAACCTCCACGCGCCAGTGGATACCGCATACTGCCCCATGAACGTTTTGGCAGAAAAATTGATGAACTGCAGAAGCTGGGACTCTCAAAATTTAGCGAGGCGTCTCCTGCCCACGTACAACTCCGCAAATTTTCGACCTCCCTGTAGAAGTTTTGGGAAGCCAGAAGAGTCAGGGGTCTGAAAATTTCAGGAGAACGTTGAAAAGCTTCACAAACTCGAATTCAGTCCTTAATTATGCCGAGGTCTTGTGTGCGACCACGTGAAAGTTTTGTCTCAGAGATCATCGAAAGCCAGGAAAATAGAAGATTGAAATTTTGGAAGGGTTTTTTTCCCAACAAATGGTTTTTTTTCCCAACAAAAGTCCCCAAAATCTGGAGATGATGAACAGGTACGGATGAACACACGGACACACAGACAACCCCTCGTTAACATGCGTTTTCTGCATTGCACATTTGCAAAAAATGCATAAAAAGAGAAGTCCCGGGAGTCCTTATATCCCACTTATTCTAGCCCTCCTCCTCGGCCTCGAACGAAACCGACCACATACCACCCCCACTTCCACCTCCCAGATTCAAACTGCCGCCATTCGCCGTGGGGCAGCCCTACCTGCCTTTGGCGGAAAAAATTTTTTGGGGCATGTGTATGAGACGAGCTGAGTTATTGTATTTGTCTACAAAACAACCCAGCACAGGAAGAGACAAGTCGCTTGTCAAGCGGCACTACTCGATAGACGTATCCTCTCGTCCATCTCTTTTGCCGGTATTTCTGTATAAAGCGGTGCATTTCTGGATAGAGGTCACAGCGCGGAAAAGAGGATCGGGTGAGCGGTTGGTTGTGCAATTGGCGCTGAGCGGTGGCGTTGGGTAGTTGAGGGCGTGTTACTGTACGGGGTAGCGACACGCCTGCGTGTAATGGCGCTTTGCATTTCTGCGGCTCTACTGGTGCAGAAATAGTGTTTGTTGGTGTTGTGGCGTGACATCCAGCATTTCTTGATGTGCCTGGGCACGTTTTCGGCCAGCGTTTGTGCATTCTGGACGGGATTTTACGACTGTTTCAGCGGTCTGCTAACTTCGTGCCATCAATTTTACGCCCTCCTTTTGGCTGAATCGCTCTTCAACTTTTTTTTCTCTTTGGTTTGTTCCGCAGTGTTGTCCGTGAGGGGGAGAAAGCGTGACCTTGCAGCCCCTCTCCTCCTTCCTCCGTCGTCCTTCCTGTTTCCTGCTGCAGCTGCCCATACTTAGGTGTGTGTGTGTGTGTGTGTGTATTGACTGGCCGCTGCTTACTTAGATGCCGTGGGATTTTTGCAGTAAAAAATGGTGCTAGCAGATTTGGGCCGTAAAATTCGCTGTGCGATCAGTAAACTCGGCCAGGCGACGATCATCAACGAGGGTGAGCTCAATGCGATGCTCAAAGAGGTCGGTGCAGCACTTCTGGAGGCGGACGTCAACGTTCGACTGGTCATGCAGCTCAAGGATAACGTAAAGTCAGCATTTTTCCTTTTTCGCCGTTCCTTTTTCGCCGTTCCTGCTTCGCAGTGTGTGCCGGATGGGCTGGGAACACTCTTCCGGCTTGTTGACGGGGACTGCATGTTGAATTAGTCGAGTTATTACTTTGTTGTTTTGTTACCTCATCGCAAAGCATGTTCGCGTTAATCGCCGCCACCTCTTCCTTCGCATCATCGGGGCAGCCGGTCCTTCAAAGCAAGAACATTTCTCCAGGTAATCAGATTCCCGATACGAATCTGCGTAGGAATTGGCTTACCAAAGAGGCTTTACACGATTCTCAACATACTAATCATCGTAACTGGCAGTATCGTCATCTGTGATTTCCCGGACATAAATTGTTTTTTACGCCTTAGCAGATCCATGCGCTGCCCTTTCGAGATTGTTCAGAAATTGGCTAAAAGTACCTTTTTGTGCAGGAATGAGCAGAATACGACTTATCGGTAGCTACTAAAACTCGGCTCGGCTCGGCTAGCCCTCGGCTGCCTCGAACGCCTCGGCCACACCTCGGCCGCCTCGACTCGCCTCGGCCGGCTCTAGGCAACGGCACAAATTACCGGTTTATCGTCAAGCGTAAAGTGGGAGAGGGAGAGGGCGGGACGGGGAGATGGGGGACAGGCAGGGGAAGGGGAAAGAGGCAAACGGGGAGAACGTTGGCAGGAGTACGGGGGGAGGTAACGGCAGTGGGGACGGGTGGGAAAGACGGGGATGAGCGGAAGCGGGGAGAGGGGGAGCAAAGATAGGGAAAGGTACAGGGAGGGGTGGGGAGGGGGACTGCAGCGGGAGAACGGTGACCGCGGAGTCGGAGACATTGGAGAAGGGGTGCTGGGGTGAGTTGACTGGGAACGTGGCGTGGCCACGTAGGGAAGAGGGGGTGATAAG